CTAACATTGCCTGCATTTTATGGAAACATATAATTTATTCTGGTTGTAGCATTCAAGAGTTATTTTTCCCCCCAAATGAATTTGTTTTGAGTGCAAAATAAGACCAAGTCTGTTCAAGGCATTAGAGGAGATGCACTGCCTCGTGTGTTATGAAAGTCAAATCCCTCTGAATAATGAAATGAACAGTCCTATATCCTGCTTGGAAAAATGATAGAATTACCCTCATGCCAAACATTTTGTAGAAGAAGGCACATTATTTCCAGCCTTTAATGAACAGGAAATGAAGCTTAAGTAATAAGAATAATCCTAAATAAATAGTGTGCCTGAAGTCTCACAATCTGTGGAGTGTTCTTACCCAAATTCTGGTGTGTCAATCATTTTGTTCCATAAGAGCAAAGCAGTTAAGCTTTGTTATGGGACACTGCAAAATGGATTATCCAGCCAAGGGCCTTCTGCATCAACCTGTTCCCTAAATACAATGTACAGAAACTATAGCCTAGTTCACGTATCACAACCACATATTTTAACTGTGGGTTGCTATACCCAGGTTTGGGCTAGATATTAGGAAAGGTTTCCTTACTGTCAGAGCCATATGACAGTGGAACCAGCTGCCTAAAGAGGTGGTGGGTGCTCCCACGCTGGAGACATTCAGAAAGACACTGGACACCCATCTGAGTGGGATGGTGTAACTTGGTGTCCCGCAACAGCAGGGGGGTTGGACTCGATGGCCTTCATGGCCCCTTCCAACTCTACCATTCTATGATTCTATGAAATGAAGCAGGAATGAGCATGTCAGGTCCTGGACAGCCAGCCATTCAAGCTGAGCTAAACAACTCAGGCGCCAGGGTATTGTGCAAGGATAAGGTTACCCTTGTAACCTTAGAGGACACTCAGGGTTTAAACCCTGAGTTGTCATTAGGGATGTCAGAGAAATCTCCCACAGAATCTGGATGAGCTCAGTCTGCACATTCTTCAGTGGACAGACTTTTCCCAAGTCATGTGGACTTGCAGACTAATTTTTAAGTGTATGTAAGTGTATATAAATTTAGTTGAGAAAAATATATAAAATCAAAATACGCATTTTTCCCCCTTAGGCTAAAACATGAAAATATACATTTTTAAGGGATTTGTGCATTTTCAAGAGTGTGAATTTGCACAACTCTGAATTTGCAACATTTCATATGCAAAAACTTATAAACACCTTTTCGTGAAATCTGATTTTGTCCATGGGTGAACAACAGAATGCAAGGCACCTAACAATCTGCAAAATATAGATGGAATGTGTCCAAATGTCCCCAGTTGATGAGAAGTGAACTGAGTCTATGTCTGTATGCCAGAGCTAGTACCCCAGCCTCCAAATATACTTGCAAACATTGCAAACTAGTGATCAAATTATTTTCAGGCTATCCAGGTCCCCAGTGTGCACATGGCACTTCTCTGCCTAAAAGAGCTGTCACATTTACTTCCATGAAGTAGGAGGACATGTAAATGTTTAGCATTTCTTTGGCAAGCATAGAAGGAAAGGAACAGGGACCTCTGCTTGGATGCAAGACCTGTGCATGCATGGGAATGATACCAACATACATTTCAAATTGGACCTTCACCCGTTTAATACTTACAACACCATTACAGGACAAGACATATGTGCCTCCCCGTAAAAACCCGTAACATCTGGATCTATCCAGCCATCATAATTTCCCCAAGAACTGAAACTTACTTCATTTTCATTACTTTCATTTTCCTGAAAACTGGGGCTTGCTTTGTTACAGCATGTCAAATTTTGACATTCTGAGTTTTGGTAATTTGGAAATGTGACAGCATGTAACAGCAAAAACCAAAAAAAGACTCCAATGCGTAATTTCTAAACAAGGATCCATAGCTACTTCCGACACCTGTAATGAATGTGAAGAGCATAGCCTGGTGCAAATGAAACAGCATGCAGAGTTTGCAAATGTGCACAACTATACACCAATGGCCTGCCACTGGAAAGTCATTGCCACACTGTAGGTTGCTCCAGAAATAAGCACCTTTGCAGTTTAGTGATGATATGGAGAACCATGTGGGCATTACAGTAAAACAATTTTTTTAAAATCTGGGTTGTCTCTGCAGTTTTACAAGAATGATAAAAGCAGTTCCAGGACACTCAGACATGAAAACCCAGGAGAAATACAAAGGGATTTGCGAAAGCACCTAACAAAGTTACAGCAACGCCTGTTAACCTCACAAAATTTGGTATTGTGACATCCATGATGTGTGAATTAGCTTTGCTTTTGAGGACAGTACAATCTGTAAGTGGTTTTGAATTCTCATTTTTCCTCCTAGCATCTTTACCTAGACCAGTATGATAGGTATTAGGGATCTGTTCAAATCAACCTTCCTCAACCTAGTGCCCTCTAGAGGTGTTGGACTCTAACACATCCCAGCACCCAAACTGGCTGGGGGATGCTGGGGATTGTAGTCCAAGGTAACAGTGAAAAGGGTTAGGAAAGGCTGGTGTAAGTAATTTCTGTGAATTTCTTAGCTAAAATAATATTTTATTTATTTATTTATTTATTTATTTAAAGCTTTTCTATACTGTCCAACTATTAGAGTCTCAGGACGGTCTTCCAGTAAAAGCAGCATAAACTAAAATGAAGCTTGAATATATAGGTCACCACCATTCATTCAGATCCCTTCACCCACTGAACTACATCTGCCCATGGTGCCATACAGTCTTTTCTAAAAGCCTGGGCAAGTCAGAGCAGTATGTGAGTTTCAGCCCATCCTGGATATTTGCCTTTGTACAGTTCACTGAGCTGCAGTCTAGTAACCAACAAGCTTGCTTTGCTTTATTAATGATAATGGCCCAGAAAATACCATCCTCAACATGCCTGGTGTGTGTTTGATTTTTCTTTTTTAAGAAATATTTGTAGACCATTTTGCAACCCCTTCCTGCAGGTCAAGATGTCACTAGATGCTGGGGTTTAAACACATCTGTTCCCCACCCACTGGAACTTTATTTACAGTCCTGTTCTAGGCATGCCAGAGCAGAAGCAAATCCTACTGAATTCTCCTGTGGATAAGATTGCAGTCTGATTCATGTCAGTCTTGGGGACAGGACTGGTTTTTGCTAAAACCCAAAGCTTTGCTCCTTGACCAGCTGGACTACACTGGAATAGACTTCTACACGTTTTGTGGTGATGGGGTTGGGGTGGGAGAAAAGTATGTAAAATAGAGGGCTCCTGGTTCCCAAGTCAAAAGGCTTTGTGCACTATTAAGATTTTTTCTTCCTGGTAAGGAGAGAAATGGTGGGAAAAAGCAGAAGGGCTACAATCTCTTCTTTGAAGGAGATTAGAAGAGCAGCTACCCAGAGAAGGCCTTCTCTGTGGTGGTGCCTGGGTTATAGAACACACTCCCCATAGAGGTGTGGCTGGCGCCGACACTTTATTCTTTTCTGCACCAGGCCAAAACTTTTTTATTTCCCCAAGAATTTAACGTTTAATTGCTATTTTAATTGGGGTTTATAGAGGATGCGATGTTGTGCTTTCTACTGTAGGACCGTCCTGAGACTTCCTGCGATAGGAAGGGGTAGAAAAGTTTTAAATAAATACATGCATTATAAGCAAATAAATATCACTGCTCCACTTAGCAGATATGGGATATGGCAGACAGGCAGGCATATGGCAGAGAAATTGTTATGAATCCCCTGGCTTCTTCAGGACTTCACCACCACTGCAAAACTCCACTAAAGACCCTCTGCTCCCCCCCTCCAAACTGCATGCAAAGATCCTGAGTAAGAAAGAGAAAGCTGGAGGATCTGCAATTCATTACACATAGAGAGCTACAGCTGCAAACAGAAAGTCAAAGAGTGCTTGCTTATATTAAAAACTGGGGGCAGGGGAAGTGTTCAAAATCATAGTTCTGTAAATCACACGACGCTTTTTTTTAGCTAGTCCTCACCATTTTAGAATGCATTGTAATTGGCAAATTAGCATATGTGGTCTGGTATACTATGCTTACACTTTTGCAAGAATCAGGAGTCGAGAAGACATGGTACCTTCTTACCTGAAACCCCAGGGGCGTGGGTGTGGTGGTCAAAGGAAGCACTTCTGCACATGCCCAGAGTTAAGAGTTTGGTTTTTTCCCAAGATCAAGCTCTGCTACCCAAAAACTAAGACTGGCCCCAGCAAGCCCAGGAAGAATTCTTGCGGACTGTATCATGGAGAAATATTGCAGTGACATCCTTATCAAGATCTGTGATCAGAGGAAGCTTCCTCAAGGCTGCACTAAACAGGCCATAGCTTGTTAACCATGAACAATCCATGAAGAGATCCCATGGTTTGTTGTTGGGCTGCAAACTGTATGAAATTCACCTTTATCTAGACTGGTCTCAGACAACTCAAAAATCCACAGTAATCATATTGTCCAAACCTATTCAATATCTTTGTTAGACCAAACCAAAGGCCACAAAATATCAGGCAAGGTGATAAATACAATTTAAAAGACAGGGAAGTGGGGGAGGGAGAGAAGGAAGGAGAAAGGTGACTTTCAAGCCACAGACTCTGCATTTGTTTACAGCCACCTCTTTAGATCCGTTTGAATATTCTTCTGGCATGTTTTAAAGAATGCCTTGTTTCTGCTTTTATTCTCTCCTGGTTGTTCTTCTATGTTACAAGTGGATGTTTATGGTCCTGATAGACCGATTCAGAAACACTTTTTATTAAACAAACGGAACTTTGCTACCGGACAAGACAGGAATGGGGAGGGTGGGGGGAGAGGCAAGGGGAGGGATGCCACCGACCTACAGGAGCGCCACCTTAAAGAAGTGCGGTGGAGTGGTGTTCCTGTGTCGACCGCGAGGGGCTCCCTCATTCTGGGATTTCTGGAGCTTCTTTTTTTATCCTATTGCGGGGGGGGGGGCAATGTGAGGTTAATTATCATATGTCTCTGTCAGTTTCAGGAAAGGGGTGGTACTTGGATAAGGGTAAAAGGGGTAGAAAAGGGGAGGAAATAAAAGTGCAGAAACCAAACAGTTCCATCTCAGAGCATCGGTGGCGGCGGCGGCACAAGCTTCCAGGCCGAAGCTTTGGGGTTTCCACGCGGCTGCGGGCAAGTTGCTTTGCACGATCGTCTTTCTCATTCATTAGCAAGGACCTGGCTTGCTTGCTTGCTTGCTTTCTACGGAGCTGGCTGTAAGCCGGGATTGGTCGGATTGCCGATCACGCTGGGCAAAACTTTTCCAACTTTTTTTTACTCCTTCGAATGTTATATTAAAGAGAGAAACTTGTAAAATCTCCACAAGAACTTGGTAACAAGCAAGGGGCGGGCAGGGGGAACTCACACAACTTCTCCTATCCGAAAAAAATTACAAGAAACAACCACCACCTTCTACAAACTCCAAAGGACCCGCGCAGCAAGTCTGCCCAAACAACAAAAGCCTGCTAAACACCCCCCCCCCCAAACTCTCCTCCTCCTTCCTGCAGCAAAGATCCCAAGAAGCCAGCGCCGTTCCATCCCTCGCCTGGATTTTCCTTGTTCTTTACTTGCCCTCGCATCCTACATCTAACATCGGCGAGCTAGAAAAGGAGATTGCTTGGAAGGGCAAGTCCCCCCACCACCACCCAAAATGCAGAATTACAAGTACGACAAGGCGATCGCTCCGGAAAGCAAGAACGGGGGCAGCCCTGCCTTGAACAACAACCCGAGCAAAAGTCCCAGCAAGAAAGCTTTACTGATTTGCCTCGACCTCTTCTGCCTCTTCATGGGTGAGATTTGAAACCGAGAAATTCCTCCTCCCCCTCCCCCGAATTAATTCACTTTTTCTGGATATCTTTAAAAAACGACCAAAACAAAACAAAAAACCCACAGAGCTTCGGCGCGCCTCAACCTCCCCTCCTTCTTCACCGTCTCTGCGAAAACTAACCCGTCTTCTCTTCTTTCCGTGTTTCGCCCTCGATATTCTACGTGCTCTCTTTTCCTGCTTTTCTCCTAAAACTTTGCGACTGAGCCACAACCGACACTCTCGAACCGATATGTTTTGCAGGAATTATTTGCAAAAGTATTGCAGGATTTCTTGGATAGCTGTTGAGTGGCTCATTTTGTTCTATCGTTCGAGTTCTAGAGTTTCGCCTTACTCTACTTTCCTATCAGGTTATTAGATTATGCCGAAGAATAACTCGGGGCTGGCGCGGGTGGGCGGGGGGACAGGACTCCCATGCCCTCTACTGCTTTGCAAAGGAGTTCTCAAGTCAGACTATATGCTGTACGCATGTGTACGAAATGCACGCACAGGAGGGCAGCCAAGAAGTAGGGTTTGGGTTTGGAGTTACTCTGGGAAAGTACCCAGTAAGAACACTGCAACGTATGGAAATCCGGAGCAGTCCCTGGTGTCAGTCCAAATGCAATGGATGTTATAACGCGACGTTTGACCCCCATGTGGAAACAAAGCATCTTCCATCCCAGCCTGCCTTTTAGGAGCAGCCTGGGAAACAAGGCGTGCTTTTTTGTTTGTTTTTCACTTGGCTGCTGCCCTGCTTAAAGAATAGGTTTCCAAAGTGGCCCTCGGGAGGTTTCCGTAGTGGGATGGGGAGCAAGGGTGGGAGGGTTTTCGGTGCCTTTTAAAAAGCTGGAGAAGAAGGGAGGGGAGTAGAATTACAGCTACCTCATGAGAAGATTCCAGTTAGCAGTAGAGAAGCTGAAGTTTTGCTCAACGCAGCCTGTGCTCAAAAGGTTTAACGTTTTCGAATGGTCGTTGTAAGGTACAAAATTTATCTGCACAAAAGAGAGGAAGGAAGGAGAATTTGGCTGTACATGCTTTTTGGAATACACACATATTCAGAGAGAAAGAAGCTGTGATCTGCCAGTGATAAAGGGTAGACAGTGTGTGCAGTGGCCACTGATAGGCATGGAATGTTGCCTTGTTGAGTTCCAGAGAACTCTGCATTGGATTAAGAACTTTTAACATTAGTGATCTCCCTTAAGACAAGGGTTCTGTAGTTGTCTATAAGGAATGAATTATTCTTATTATTTACCCTTAACAGAGTTCCTCTGCCTTAAAGTGCAGTGTTGCAGGCAGAAACTCCATAGGTGAGCCTGTATCGTTGGACGTCCATGCATGGAAGGGTTTCCTCTTTGGAATTTCTGACTACCACTTGCTCTTAATAGCACAAGAACTCTTACAGAAAGACATTCAAAAGGTGATAGTCCTAAATTAACTGATGGTAGGATGCACTGGCATGGACAGCAGCCCACTTGATCAGATAAATAGAGTGTTCCAAGAAGATGGAGAACATACATTTGGACTGAGGTTGTAAAGGAGGATGAACCAACATAACACAAAGAAGAAATTAACAGATGTCTGGAAAGGTTATCTGTTCCTGATAATCATCTGTCTGCTTTAGGTCTACTGGAAACCATCAAGGGTAGAAGGGGGCTTCTCTGTCAGTGCCCCAAAGAACTTTACAAAACAAACAGCAGGAATTTTGCATGGCACCCTTAATCTCTTGCTAGCAAAGATACTGTGTGGAATTGCTGGTTTAAATTATCAACCCAAGGGAGAACAATAATGCTTCTGTGTCCTCAGGCACTTTACTGTGGAGTAATCCTAGATATGCTGGAACAATTGTCCCCCCACTCCATCCCATCCCATCCCATCCCATCCCACTCTACTGAAGCCCTCAGGAGTGTCTTGGCTCTAATGTCAGATAGGATTGAGGGAGAGGGGCTGTGATTTTCAGTGTAATTTCACAGATCGGAAAATCAGCATCTCTGCTTTATAAAATAAGGATAAGGGCCAAACCCAGCTTTACCACATTATACAGGGAGCAGGAGCCAATCTTGGCTCTCTGATAAGTGAAGCTTATGACACAAGTGCTTGTGAAGACCTATTTGTCCCATGTCTGTCTATATCTTAAAAGAAATGTCCTCTGGGAAGCAACTTAGTCTGAGCCTTAGGAGCCTGTGGACAGGAGCCTCGGCTTGTACAAATTGGAATACATCTTCATTGTAATTTATGGTAGTTGAGAATCTGGCTTTGATGAGAGCTCTAATTTGCACAATTTGATATAGTGTGTGTGTGACAGAACAGAGAAAGCACACCAGTGGAAGAAGAAATGCTGCAAAGTTGGAACCAGTTGTAAGGCTTTATTCTATGGGAACCCTCTTTCATTACTGAGTTATCTCTCATATGATGATCAACACTTAGGCGAGAATTAACATCTCTGAAAGATATCCTTGTCTGATGATTATTTCTCTTAAGCAGAAAACCAATATGTTTGGTAAGCAAATCAGTGCCCATCAGTTTAAACTTTAAGAATTTTTGAATGTATATCTTTATAGTTTTACACAGATATATGGTCCTGTTTGAATTAGTTGGTATTATGTCATTATCATCAGTAGATTCAATATGTATGTTTGTGTGTTGAAGAGGGGAGCAGAGGAGATTGTATTCAACTGGGTAGTTGTCAAGTAAAAGTGATGACTTTATGGAGCACTTTTAAAAATAAGTTTATTCAGCAGGGACAGATCAGCACTCTAAAGAGATTGCTCAAGCATATGTGAACGAAACTTGTGTTCCAAGTAGTGCTTAGTTAGATGTTTGCATTTTCCCCCTCCTCCACCTTAATGAAAGTGATCTGATGTAAGGGATATTGCAAGAAGGAGGAGGAGGATATAACTGTGAACTGAATATAGGGGGCACTACCCTCTAGTGGATAAGGCATCCTTACAGAGTCAAGGGCCTGAGTTCTAATCCTGTTTGAAAATTCATTTGATTTGTAAAGTAACTTAGCACTAACAGTCTTCAGCTATACCATTTTGGTGCATTTTTTTCCTTAAACAAAAGCCATTCAGGACAGAGGGAAATCACAAGTATGTGCCCAGGAAATAGTCAGCTGGGGTAGATAGCATGGATGCATCACGTAGTTCAGTAACAATCCTGGGGGATAGAACAGAACTTGTATTTTGCATCTCCTCTGCATGAGCTACAGACTAGGATAGTGCATCTTCATGCAGGCATGTTGTAATGAGATCAGATGCAGAGGATTCAGCTGTGAGTTTTATAGTTTGTCTGCTTTGAACCAAGCCCCACTGAGTTCAATGAGACTTACTCCAAAGTAAGCATGTATAGGTGCGCAGCCACGTTTAAAACAAGATATGGCAGTTTCCCTTTGCTTTAGAAAAGGCAGTTGCTTGACACAATGGCACAGTAGTCCTGGCCCGGTCAATCAGGAGTTGCTACAGTAATACACCAAACTTAGCTTTTCTGTCCCTGTAATGTAATCTAGCTGCACAACTGGAGTAGAAAAATAATGGTGTATGCAGACCTAGCAGAGTGCATCTGCAGATTTCATAAAACCAGAAAACTTCAAGCAGTCTCTCCAAACTCAGCTTTTATGCAGAAGCTAGTAGTTGCAAGAAAAAGTTTTAAATTAGAGGCAATGTTAAAAGCATTTTGTCGTGATACGCGGGGAGGACCAATCAGCTTTCTTTCACATGAGTATCACAACAGTGTGCACTTTCAATAATTCTGACACCACAGTCTTTAAACTGATTGTCTCTGGTTTCTGCACAGCTCTCCTCACAGTGTCAGTTTGGTTTAATTTTTGTAGAGTTGATTGTTTATCTGGTCTCTCTGTTATCCAGCACTAATATATCAGGCAAAGAGAATAGGTTTTGTATGAGTCTATTTTTAAAAGTTTCTTTCTCAGCAGTATGGAAGAGTAAACTATTTGATATACATACAATTGCTTTATCTTATCTCACCCATAAAAATAGAAGATTATATTCCTGGGTAGATATCTTACCTCATCAGCATTTGGGACAACTTCTATCTGAAGCAACAATCCTTAACAGAAAAAAGCCCATTGAGCACAATGTGACTTAATACTTTGTGAACATTTGTAGGAATGGACCATGGGTTGTTGCTGGTGATCACTTTGCAGATACTTGGGAGTCAAAGAGACTATTAGAATATAGTCATTGGCAGCGTTCTCCAACCTGGGGCCTTCCACAGGTCTTAGACTACATCTGTTAACATTTTTGACTGGTAACCATGTTTGTTGGGCTGAAGGGGAATTGATCAATGGCATAACATTGTCAAAAGTGGGGAAAACAAATGTGTTGTGACATTGACAACGTGTCAATGACACGTTGGCGTGCAGTGTGTTGAAACTCTGAAAAAGCACGTTGAGTACAGTTAAACTTACTTTCAACAGACTATTCATAGGACTGAATCTGTAAGGGGCACCCCTATACATGCATTCTCAGAATTAGTTCACACCAAGTTCAGTGAGTCCTAATTCCAGGTAAGTGTGTACAGAATTGCAGCCCAAGAGGGCAATTTTATGTACATTTACTTGGATATAACCCCACTGAATGGGATCTTCCTCCTGAGCAGATATGAATAATGTATAAAAAGTTAGTGCAATTTGAGTGACAACAATACATGTGAGAGTAAGATGCACAAATGAATTACATTTCCTAGGAACATGCTGCCAATACCTAAAGTGGGCACCTGCATCTCATCCTTAACATACTGGATCTCTGCCAGTATTCCTTCACTCACTGTAGTAACAGTATCAGGAAAGACAGAATAAATGTAGCTGTTCCTGTCTTTGCCCAGCATAAAATATGCAGATTTAGCTCGACAGCAGTGGTACAATTGTAGCAGTGTTACCACTAATTAATTTCTATGTAAGTGTATGCTAGTCATTTATTTAAATTATTTATAAACTGTAAGCCTTCCTACAACTTAAGTTCCTTTGCT